CGCCCCCCTCCCCCGTGGCGGCCCGGATGAGCAGGCAGCACTCAGCCGAGTGCCACGGCGGGAGGGGAAGGGGAAGGAGGGTGGGGAGGGACCGAGGGGAAGGGAGAGGCAGGAGGAGGAAGAGGAGGAGAAGAGAAAGAAAGAGATGGAGAGAGAGGCAGAAGGTGAGCAAGGCAGGAGGCGGAGGAGAGCTGAGAGAGAGAGGGGGAGTCAGTAGGAGGAGAGAAAGAGAGAGATGGAGCGAGAGACCAGAGGCTCAGAGGAGAAGACCAAGGTGGAGGAGAGACCTGAAAATCCTGTCTTATGACGGGCTAATTGGCTAGTCTTATAATAAACCCTGTTGTTTTCCCAATAAATACTAAGGATGTTAAATATCGGGTAATTGACTAATCGAATAGTCAATGCATTTTTGCATCGACTATTCGACTGGTCGATAGGGCACCTCTGCCTTTGAAGTGTAGCAACCGTCCTAGGGCTGTTGCTACACTTCAGAGGCAAAAGTGTTGAAACCCGGGGTCAGCTGGGGACTCCCCCACGGTCCCTGGGCTTCACGCAGCGCTGCCACTTTTAAATGCCGTGAGGAGCCTGACGCCGGGCTCCCTGCAGCATTTAAAGCAGCAGTGCCACATGGAGCAGCTGACTCTGGGCAATGTGTAGCACTGCTGCTTTGAAGTACCCCTCTTTTCTCTCCCCCCTTGCAGCAAGGGCAGGGAGGAAGCGACTAATTGACTCTCCTGTAGACTGTCCGATAAGCATTTCCTTATCAGATAGTTGATTAGTCCTTCATACCCCCAGCTTTTATCCAATGGTAAAGTTTCTCTATCCTGGGAAGTTGTGACTTGGAAAAACAATTGTGGGGTATTGTGGTGAATATTCAGTGAACATGAGCTCCCATCATAATGCTAAAGCTAAAAAGGATTCATGTGATCCCTGAATACATGAGCCGGGACAAGGAGATTATATTACCTCTGTATTGGAAGCTGGTTTGATGACTATTAGAATAGCGCAAAGAAAGATATATCAAGATGGTGGGAATTGAAGCTAGATAAATTCAGATGTCAAATAAGCTGCATATTTTTATAGCGAGAGTAATTAGTTATTGGAACAACTCACCCCGGGCTGTGGTGGATTCTCCCTCACTAGACATTACAAAATCAAGAATGGTTGTTTTTTTCTGAAAGATATGCTCTAGTTCAAACAAGAACTATCTCAGGGAAGTTTATAATCTGTTTTATACTGTAAATCAGACTAGATGATCACAGTCGTCCCTTCTGGCTTGATCATCTGTTATTGTAGGCAAAATGAATACTTGGGCAGCATATTTTGCTTAATCTGAGGTAGAGCCTTGCATGGGACTGGTCTTTAATCCAGCTCCTACCCAATCCTGCCATGCAAGGCAGCCATCATGCAAGACTCCTGGGATTCCAGTCCTGCTGCAGGACTTCACACTTCTCCCCCCTATGGGGCTCTAATTCTAAGGGCCACTGTCTCCTGGTGAGTTAGATAGGGAGGGAGCCCAGGGCACCCCATCACAATACCCTGTATGCACATGCAGAAGGATGTTCTCATGTGACTGCTATATCTCAAGGGCTGCAGGAAAGAGGGCGAGGGGAGGGTAGACAGTGCTGATCACAGCTCTTTGATCCTTGGGGAATATGATGCAGTAGAATGGGGATTCGGATGTTCTCCTGCATGTTGTCCTTCGGCTGCCTGCTGGACAGTGTAGAGGAGACATACTGACTGCAGCCTCTAATTGTGTTCCCCCTGTGGTGGCATACACCTGATTGCACAGCCTTTCTTTGCATCGATAAGCACTTACTCATGTCAGTATGTCCGTTGTCCACAGGAAGAATTGTGTGAGTAAGCGCTCACCAGAGTAAAAGCTGCATAACTGAACCCTTTATTTGCTCTTTCATACCATGAGTTTAGGGATTTATACTCCTGCTCTGGCTATATTCTTTTCCCTTGCCTTCCACTCAAACCTACCCAATATGGTTCTCAGAACCACCATAAAGCCCATATAAAAATTAGCACATAATAGCATTTGCTGTCCACACATTCTGGATAGATGTTGCATAATAGCACAGAAAGTGAGTTTAACATGTTAGTTCAAGGTAAAGGTTAGAGCTTGAGCAACTGAAAAAAAAAACCCCACACTGCAACAGGAAGAGAAGCTCCAGAAAGGTTTGAGAATGTGGATGCAGCAATTGGTGTTTTGCTCTAGATGTCCAGTACCAAAACACCTGGGAGTTGTTTTAAGCTTGAGCATAATTCAGTTTAATCCACTGGCACCTCTCAGGATGTCTGGCTTTTCTCTGCATCTGTGGTCTCTTTTGTCAGGTCTCAGATCCTTATATCCTGACCATCATCTTGCCCATCTGTTAAAGTCAGATTTTCTACTTCAACGCTTTTCCTATAGCATCAATAACACTTGTTAATGACTGTCTTTGCTGTTTCTCCCATTGTCCTTTTTATTATGTTCTGCTAGGAATTCCTTCCCATTTATGTACTTGTCATTATTGTTGCCTTTGGAGCAATAATTATTGCCAAACATGTCTGACAATTGGGGGAAGTGATCCACTCCCATGGACTTGTGCAAACACTTCTGGTAAGTTACAGTGTTTGGATTTGCCTGCTGCATTCGTCAAGAAGAGACACCCCTCTGGTGACCTTTGAAAGGCCTGCAGTTTCCAAAACATTTATAGAACTTCAGATGAAGGTGAGTCACTCTGTGTTTGAAGAATGACAGTGTCCCTAATTGTAGAAATTGTAGAAATTCACTTTCCTTGGGACTTTCTGACAGCTTCATTTTTCCCTCCATACTCCTCAGCTGCTGCTACAATTGGTGAGGCTAGGACCAGCTTACTTTTGGTGCCCTACGCCAATGATCTCTTATTAGCCAGAGGAATAACTGTGAAAGATATTTCACTTTTCAGCCTGCCTCTGTATCACTGTTAATTCCTTCCAAGGTGGGGTACAAGGGACAGCAATCTGGTCCATGCATACAGAGAGCTACTAGTTGTTGGGGCAGCTCCCAAGCATTTTTTGTAATATGAATTTAGAGACCACATTCTTACGAATGTTGATGAGCATTGGAAATTCCTATTGAAATGAATGGGAGTTACTAGTACTTGGTCCCCAGGTCAAATTTGTCCTTACTACTTCTCTATTCAGATGTTCTTTAAATACATAACTTTTTTTTGTCTACATTTAGGGTCATGTTTAATCTCTTGCAACCCATTAGTCTTTGTGTGGGTGTAAATCAGGGCAGAATTCCTAGAAGGAAGCCAGGTAGAAAGGGGAAGGCTGTACACCAGCAGTTCTATAGGGAAGGAGAATAGCTTTAAAGCTAGTACTGTTTTCCTTATTTTAATGAAGTTCCTTGTTTAGCATGAGAAGAAAGCAGCTCTTTGTATTTGTTATCAGTGTCACAAGGTAACACTAACAAATAAAAATCACTGGACTAGCTTCCAGTATTATATCTATGCCTAGGTCCTCCCACCATTTTTTGTAATATTACAGTCGTTCTCTATTTAAAAAGAGTTTTCCTCTCCACTGTTGTGTCATAAAGACCAACACGGACAGGGAATATAATTTACTCCAGGAAAACAGTGAAAGTGACCACAGGAAGTGCTGTAAAAATGATAATTTACTCCAGGAAAACAGTGAAAGTGACCAGACATTAAGTGCTGTAAAAATGCACCAAGTAAATACACTCAAGAAAAAAACCAGAACTTTTTTCTCTGTTTATGTGAAAATAATTCATCTGCTTTTTTAAAAACAAGCCAGTGCTTGTATATTTTTACTACTTGTAAAAACTGTTCAGCCAGAAGTCTGAATTTTTAGATTGATGGTTCCCCTTTAATATATATTTGAGGAATTATATCGTCGAATAAAAATACTGCCATGAAACCGTGTGCTAATATTGAAGAATAACCATTCTTACCTTTGTCTGTAAGCTCTCCCCAGTCTACACTGACAAAATCTGTGGTCTGTGTGGAAACTACAATGGCAACGAAGGGGACGACTTTCTGACACCTTCTGGCCTTGTGGAAGCCCTTGTGGAAGATTTTGGAAACGCCTGGAAGCTCAATGGAGATTGCCAAGACTTGTTAAAACAAGACAGTGACCCCTGTAGTCTCAACCCTCGCTTAGGTACTGAAACCTGCCTGCCACATAACATATAGTGCTGTGAAAGAACATGTGATCTCCCATCCCATAAAAGTGCAACTGTTTGCAAATGGGAACAGGATCATTCTTACTTCTGTAAAATAAGTCAAACATCTTTCATTCCATGCATTGAATGAAGCACGGGTCCTGCAGAAAAGATACTAGGTGATCACATAATTAAAAACTATATCATAATGTGTACACAAAAGGAGGCTGAATTTAGGTTACATGGGGCACCTGACTTCTGGCATTTCCTAACTTCTGAGTGCTTGACTCTGTAACCTTAATGCAAGTTGGACCTCCCTGGTCTGGCACTTTCAGGACTTGACTGGTCCAGATGAGGAATTTTTGCCGGACCAGGGGATGTCATGTCTGGCTCCCCTGCTACCAGTTCCTCCAGCCCTGGACCAGCTGTGGGCCTCCTGGCTGGCTTTCCCTTGCTGCCAGCCTCACTACCCTGCCAGTCCCTGCACCTCTTTCCTTGCTAGACCAGGGAACCTAGCTCCCTGTGTGCCGGGCTCCTGGCCCCGTCAGACAGCTCCACTGGGTTGTACCTAGCAGCCCAGCTGTGGGGAGCCCCGCTGCCAGCCCTCTACCAGGACCCTCTGGTCCTGGAACATCTGTGGTCCTGCCAGACGACCAATGGTGCCAGACCAGGGAGTCCTGGATTACAGAGGTTCAAACATGTCTTTTTTTAATGCAGTTTTTAATTTAGTTTTCTAATTTAAACAAACTGAAAAAAAGCACACGAGACCCCAGAGATTCCATCATATGGAAACATATTGACTCCAAACGTGGGTCAAAAGGAGGGTTTGGACCATTTGACCTTAGCACAGACTTGAGCTAATGGCAATGTTATCTGTGTAAGTAGCAGGCTATTATGCCCTCTGTGGATCAGTCACTAGAGGGGGATGCAAGGCACCTTGCAAGAGGGTTTCACAGCTGTTTGCTGACAGAAGGGAATACAGAGACACAGGGCTCCTGGGTTCAATTCAAGCTTCTGATGACACATGTGTGCCTGTAATTGTAGACCTTTCTGCCCCATGCCCTTAGCCTGCCTCTGCCCCCCTCTGTTCCTCTTTGCCGCAGCTTCTGACCTCTCCCTCTCTGTTCCTGTTCGTTCCTGCCCCTCAGGATGCTTCTTTCCTCCTATCCACTCCCTCACATCTGATGCCTCTGCCTGCTTCTCTTCCCTCCCCTTCTGTGCCTGTACACCCTGCTTCCCCACTGACTCCTCCCACGCATCCTTTCTCCCATCTCTGCATTCCCATGTGGCAGGTAGCTGCTGCCTCCATATTGCCTGGAGAGGGGTTGAGAACAAAGGTGAGAGTCTTTTGGAGCTCACCTCTGGTGCCCCTGGTGTCCAGAAAGACTAATTGTAGGAGAAGTCAAGTTCAGCCCCTGCAACCCCAGGACAGAGCAAGCTCAGTTGCTCTGTGGAGATGGCGCGCACACATGGAGCAGTCCCACACAGGAGGTGAGAGGTGAACACACCTCAAAACATTCAGCCTGAGCAGTTTCAGACTGGGAAATTTATAAGCTGCTAAAAATGAGCCTGATGATAGGAAGTGCCAGGCAGCCTGAGCTACAATCAGTGCCATCAGTTTTGCCAGTGAGAGCAGAACAGAACAGAAAATCAAGGTTTTCCACTGTTTGTTTTGCTAATTAAAGGCTGCTGTTATTGAATGGGAAATAATCCAGCACTACAGGCGGAGGATCACATTTTGCTCTTCAGGTCTCTTATCCTATTAAGAAAAGCAAAAGGAAAATCGTTCAGTTAGGCTTGGTCTGCATTAGCAATTTATGTTGGTATGACTGCAGTGCTCGGGGTGGGGAAAATGGACATCCCCGAGTGGTGTCATTATTCTGACCTAGCGGCACAACGGTGATGGAAAGGCTTCTTGCATCAATGAAGGTACCACCTCTTGGGGAGGCAGATTACCTGCACCAATGGGAGAAGCCCTCCTGTCGTTGTAGGTAGTATCTTCACTGAAGCACGACAGTGGCGCAGCTGCCTCCCTTTCAGTGTATAGAAACCTTTGCTTTGATTACAGCTGCTCCCCGAGTTACGAACAAGTTACGGACCAACACTTGGTTCGTAACTCGAAGTGTTTGTAACTCGGATTCCAAAGAGTTACATGGCAACCATGCTGTTCGTAAGCACGGATCGCCATTCATAACTCGGATCCGCATTTACAACCACTTTGGTCGTAAGTGCGGTTGGTTGTAAATGGAGGTGGTCGTAACTCGGGGAGTAGCTGTACTCTGCTTTTTGCGTGTAAAGTGTCCAGATAACATTTTTCTCATTTTAGCCAAGTATGCGGAAGAATCCTGTTCAATTCTAATGTCGTCCATGTTTGAACCTTGCCACCATGAAGTTAGCCCTTCTCCGTACCTGAAGAACTGCCGCTATGACGTGTGCTCCTGTTCTGATGGCAAAGATTGCCTGTGTGCTGCAGTTTCTACCTATGCCACTGCCTGCGTTAGGAGAGGCGTTCTGATCCAGTGGCGGGAGCCAGACTTCTGCTGTAAGTGAATGCTGCAAAGAACTGTTTTCTTGCATTGACTCGATGGTGTCCTGTGACAAGATCAGCCATTTCTGATTTCTGCAAGGTGCTGAGTATCTGCTCCAGGACATGCGGCTCATGCTCAGTTGTCTTTCACCCCATTAGGAGTAGAGGAGGCTCAGTTTTTTGCAGAAGGTGCTCAGCAACAGGCAAAAATAGCTCCCCTTGAGCAACCCTCAGCTGGCTTGGTTCAAACCACTCCTCCACTAACTTTGGCTGCCTGTCTGAAAATGTTCCCAATACCTTGGGCTGGCAGCCTCTCAAAGTATCTCATGAAGTTAATGGCAACAGGTACTTTGTATGTTAACACTTCCCCGCTGGGACCCATCCAGGGAGGCACTGACCTTCTCAATTCCTGTTGCCTTCAAAATAGTAGTTGTGAGTATTACTCACAGTATCAGACCTCTGGTCCTAGCAGAAACCTAGCAAGCTGGTTAGTTCAGTTCCCAAGGAAAGGTCCAAGTCAGTTCTTATTACATGGCATCGTTTTTCCAAGATGTGAGCACTATGTTGCTGTTTAGACTCCTTTGTCTCCTCTGTTAATGAGTTTTAACCTGACTCTGAGGCTGACACACCCTATAGCAAGATAGTAATGGATGACAAGATACTCCCTTGAACGTGCTGTGGCCCCATTGTGCTACACACTGGACAGATACAAAGGGTGGGATTTCTAGAAGCATCTAAAGGAGTGAAGCTATTTCCACACTTACAGCGATTTAGGGGCTTCATATAGACACTTACTGCAGTGATGGGAGGGGTTGTTCTTTCGCTGTAGTAAATTCACCTCCCACGTAGCGATTAGCTGGATCAACTGGAAGAATTCTCCAGATGACTTATTGCCGTCTTCCCAGGGACATGGGTTGGTTTAACTATGCTGCGTAGGGTGCCTGAGCGAAGTAGCTGGGTTGTTCTAATTTTCTAATGCACACCAGTTCTTAAATGCCTATGTTCCAGTAAAAGCCAGTGGGATCTGAGTGCTATCTTCTTTTCAGGACTGCTTGAAAACTCCACCCATGATAAATGGCAGCCCCTGTCCCAATTTAAAAGTTAAGCAGAACAGGAGATTGAAACGTATAAGTAGCCCCTGGGTGGTAGGTGGGTGACTAGAGGGGGATGATGGCATAACAAAAAATAATAGGATACTTATGCACAGACCAGCAGTGCATGGGAAGAATGTGGCAGGAGGCTGGAATAGAAAAAAAATCCCTTTTTTATCATCTCATTATTAGGCAGAGGTGGTTGGAAAAATTCAATTGAAATGAAATTTTGATGCAAAACAGAAATAATTTTCTTCATCAATGTCTGCCAAAGACTTTTCTCCTGTTTCCAAGCAGCTCTACTCTTAAGGAAAGTAGAAAAGCAGGGATTTTAGGGGAAAGCACATATGCTTGGCTGTACTCCCAACAGTATTCCTTCCCAAACAGTAGCTGGGTGGGGCATTTGAAAAACCAAGTGACTACAGAAGCTAGAGAGTGGGGAGAGGTCACTGGAGTTCCAACTGAGGCAATCCGTCCTAGGCCAGTGATGCCAGTTGTTGGAGGCTGGGTTACACTTGCTGGGGGAGAGCAAGACTGGAGAACAAGACTGGATTATGTTAAATTGCTGTACGGTTTCATAATATTGACTTGATTTATGTAAATGTTCAGAGAGTGGAACATTAATTCAATAAAAAACCTTTTAAAAAAATGCACAAGTCTGGAGGCTGAAAGTGAGAGCAGCGGTAATGCAACTTCGTTTTTGCTGTAATTGAACAAGTCAATTTTCACAATTAATCTTTAATAGTGTAGCACTGCTTCCTCCTCTCTGTACATTACGGAGCACTTTGTGCCTGCACCAAGAGCAGATTTCTCTGACTGCAGATCCATCAGGCCCCATTAAATAATCTTCTCTCCTGTCACATGAAGGAGAACAATTCTCCTTTTAATGGGCTTGAGACTTGAATATGCTATTGGCATAATTTGTGCTGATGGACTGATGTATTGAACAGGGGGCTGCTCCCCTGCTCTCTGGCTGAGATTCAGATTCACAGGCAAATGATTTAACAGAAGCAGTTTGCTTTATCTGAAGTTCGTCAGTGGCAGATAGGTTGTGGCCTCTTTGTGCTACACACTGTACAGATATATAGGGTGGGGAAGTGTCTAAAGAGATTAGGCCGGGGTGGGCAATAATTCTTAAAATTATTTTAGGGGCAGAGCCTCGGGCGGAAGGGGTGGGCTCAGGAGACTTCCTGTGTCCCCCCCCGTCTGGCCTGAGGTGGGGGAGTGCTAGAAGTCTCACCCCTCCCTGCCTGCCCCTAGAGAGAAATGCCACGGGAGAAGACCTCACGTGCTCCTCCTGCCCCCAGACCAATCAGGGCCTGAGGACAGGGGAGCGCGGGAAGTCTCCTCTCTCCTGCAAGAGCGCACGGTGACTAGAGACACACTGATTGTTTTAAAACAGCTGGCTTTTTGCTCTAGCTGCTGCGTGCCCCTAGCAGGGCGGGGACAGGACATGAGAGACTTTGCGCGTTTGCTTCCCCCAGGCCCTGATTAGCCTGGAGGTGAGGCACGTGCAAAGCTTTTCCCCTGCCAAGGACGCATGGCACCCAGTATGTCTATACTACCACCCTAGTTCAAACTAGGGTGGTAATGTAGTCAACCGGAGTTGCAAATGAAGCTCAGGATTTGAATTTCCTGGGCTTCATTTGCATGTTGCCGGGCACCGCCATTTTTAAATGTCCGCTAGTTCGGACTCCGTGCCCCGTGGCTACATGCGGCATGAACTAGGTAGTTCGGACTAGGCTTCCTATTGTGAACTACCGTTACTTCTCGTTCCACAAGGAGTAACAGTAGTTCCACGAGGAGTAATGGTAGTTCGGAATAGGAAGCCTAGTCCGAACTACCTAGTCTGTTTGCCGGGCACCGCCATTTTTAAATGTCCGCTAGTTCGGACTCCGTGCCCCGTGGCTACATGCGGCATGAACTAGGTAGTTCGGACTAGGCTTCCTATTGTGAACTACCGTTACTTCTCGTTCCACAAGGAGTAACAGTAGTTCCACGAGGAGTAATGGTAGTTCGGAATAGGAAGCCTAGTCCGAACTACCTAGTCTGTGCCGCGTGTAGCCGCGGGGCACGGAGTCCGAACTAGCGGACATTTAAAAATGGCGGCGCCCGGCAACATGCAAATGAAGCCCGGGAAATTCAAATCCCGGGCTTCATTTGCAACTCCAGTTGACTACATTAACCACCCTAGTTCGAACTAGGGTGGTAGTGTAGACATCTGGTTGGCCTGGGACAGAGAGTGCACGAAGCTCCCTCCGCCAAAGGGGAGGGGCAGCTAGAGATAAAAGCCGGCTTTTTTAAAACAGCTGATGTGTCTCTCCAGGCGCCGCATGCCCTTGCAGGGGCGAGGACACTTCACACATTCTCCCACCCCCACGCCCTGATTGGCCTGGGGGTAGGGGAATGGCAGGGCGGCCGTGGGCTGGATCCACTGGTTTGGTGGGCCAAATTTGGCCCGTGGAAGGCCCTTTGCCCACCCCTGGGGTAGTCCATGTTGACAGGTCTGGGAAAGCTACTCTGGGTGTCCCCACTAAATGCAAGATGGGGCAGATTGTTGAACATAAGCAGTTAGCATGTATTCTATAGGAATATTCTGCGGTCCGCTAGAAATATGAACTAACTAAACAATCCGTCCCCCCTTGCAATTGACTGGGGGCTTGGGAGTACCTTTCCAGACCTGAAGAAGAGCTCTGTGTGGCTCAAAAGCTTGTCTCTCTCCTCAACAGAAGCTGATCCAATGGAAGGTATTATCCCACCCACTGTGTTTCTCTAAACTGTTCAGTGCGTGCACTCACCCGATTGCTTGCGCCTCCGATTGCTGGCGCCTCACAGCCCACACCCTAACATGCTCTTTATTGTCTGGGGCAGTCGAATAGCTGCTCCCTCATAGATCCTTCATGTGTGAATTGGAAGCACCGTGCTGTTCGCTGCAGCCAGAGGCCCATGGGACTGGTACGAAAGAAAGAGTCTTTCATTTTGTTGCATTTGCTCTCCAGTAGGTGCCCATTGCTCTTGAGCTTTGATGAACCCCTGCAGTTCTATTGTGAAAGGAAGGATGGTGTGTAGAGCACTAGCCTAGGAGATGTTGGTTCTAGCCCCTGCTCCCCTATAGATTACCTGTGTGACCTTGGACAAGTCACATATATGGGTATGTCTACAGTTACACCCTCTTTTGAGGATTTAGTTGAGATAGAACTCAAGATCTGCTCTGCAGCTGCTGTCCCTGCTCCATTGAGTGTCCTACTTTGCCTGCTGCTTCCATCAGAAGCCCATTACCACTCGGAATGCTTCTGGCAATCCTACCTAACAATCCAGCCTTCAGCCTGCTCCCTGTCTTGTGGAAACAAGAGGACTGACATGGCTGCAGGGACACTGCATGTACATTTGTTATCACTGCTGCCACCTCGTGCTGGATGCAGGTACAAACCAACATTGCTATTTGCAGAAGCAGACCAGGATATTAGAAAGCAGAACCCCACAGTTAGGTGCTGAAGGTCATAGACCACTGAAAAAGTAGCCTGACTATAAAAAGTGTGGACTAGTAGATACTCAATACTTTTTGAAACCAAAGCCATTTGCATATGTATTTAGGAACCTAACCTTAGGTGCCAATTTGTGGCAAATTTGACCCTAAACTATATTGTTAATGGAAACTAAGTAAAAAGGAAAGGCACAGATACAACAATGGTTTTTGTAAATCCATAGCTCCCTTTTAGATCCAAGTAACAGTAGGAACTGGAGGCAGTTTGCATTACGCTTTCCTCCTGTTTGGAGGAATTTTTTGTAACATTTGTTATGGCTTTTGCTTAATGTGGTACCTTGTGCACATTGTGGTCCCATTGACTTCAGTGGGGCTCTCTGTAGGGGTTATGCCAGCAGGTCCTGATGTGCCACTGATGGGTCTCCAGGTGTTTTTTTTTTTAAATAATCTCCATGTTATGATATAAAGAGTTAGTAAAACCACATGTGAATCAGAAAAGACTACCCTGCAATTAGGTCCCAAAACAGGCTGCTATTCATTTAGATCTGGGTCCAAAGTCAGCAGAAGCCAGTGGAAGACTGACTTTCCATTGATTTCAATAGGCTTTGGATCAGCCCCATAAAACATACTGGTTAATGTGAAATTGTTCCCCACTGATTACATGAATTTTACTGGACAGTGGGTCTTTCCACTGTGGTTTCACTGATGTGTCTTATTTAACAGCAATGACTTGTCCGGAAGGCCAAATTTATCAACAGTGTGGAACTCCATGCAACCAGACCTGCCGGGCTCTATCCTACCCAGATGTAGGCTGCAATGAATTCTGCATGGAAGGCTGCTATTGTCCACATGGGCAATATATTGATGAGCATGGAGATTGTGTACCAAAGTCCCAGTGCTCTTGCTACTATGATGGTGAGATCTTCCAACCAGATGATGTCTTTTCAGATCACTACACCATGTGGTAAGTGCAGTAGATGCAACTGATTCCAGTTGTTTCTTTACCCACCTTTTAAAGAAGTTTTTAAAAAGCCTCATCAGATAACTAGGCCAAGCCACTGGTGTAAATTGGCATAGCTGTACTGAAATCAAAGGAGTTGTGCCAATTTAAACTAGTCGAGGGTTTGCCTATAAGTAATCTAAATCTAGGTGTCTTGGCATATTTTGCATCAGGAAGTAGAATATTCAGTCACATTGTGCAATGAGTTTAGTGACTTTAAATGCTTTTTCATGGGTAATAATACATTTTTGAAAACCTAATTATCTCTATAAAACAGCAACTGCTAAGTTGCATTTATAATTATTAAAGAGCAGCTAGGAATTTAATTGATGAACTGCTCCTGACAAAGCCAATTTCTGGAACAATATCCTCTCATTTTCCCCTTAACCAGAGAGGTCACATTGAGAGCAGTAAGAAGTTACTTATCCTCCTCCACATTGCAGCAAATGGAGCTGCGTCACCAGTTTTATACCAGGGTAGCTCCATTCATTTCACTTGTGTTACATCAGTACAACACTGGAATAACGGGGGATGAATAATGATGTGTACTTAAAGGCAAGGGTTTGTGACTGGAGGGTGAGGGGGTGGCTCTGACCCTTCCCAGACTACTGCACTGTTTTCAGGAGTCTGAGTTTTCACGTTTACCCCAGGTTTCACTTCAGTTCACGAAAACGTGCTTACAAAATGTGCTGAGATTCTCATTTTTACCATGTAATTATAAAATAAATTGGAATATAACTGTTGTACTTACATGTCAGTGTATAATATATAGAGCAGAATAAACAAGTCACCGTATGAAAATTTAGTTTGTACTGACTTCTCTAGGGCTTTTTAAATGTATCTTGTTGTACAATTAGGCAAATATCTAAGGGCACATCTACACAGCACAGTTATTTCTAAATAACTGATGTTCTTTCGAAATAACGAGAACATTTACACAGCATTTCCATTATATTGAAATAAAATTGAAATAACAGATGGCTTATTCCGACTTCTGTAAACCTCATTCCATGAAGAATAACGCCTCTTCCGAAATAGATGATTCAAAATAACTGTAGTGTGGACGCTCCACTGCTGCTATTTCAAATTAGCTCCTCCCCAGGGCCATTCAAACTAATTATTCCCTAGTGTCTCCTGGGGCTTTAAACCGAGGTAGCACATCCACATTGGTGAAGCCTGCTTCGGACTAATTTTGGGGCTTCCTGTAGTGTAGATGTGCTTTTTAGAAATAAGCTGTTTCGGGGTATTTCTTCTGGAATAGCTTATTTTGAAATAAGTGTGAAGTGTAGACGTACCCTAAATGAGATGATATACCTACTGGAAGACCTTTGCATAACCCCAGGGTATTTATACTCCTGTTCAATGGAAACGCTGCTTTAAGGGTATACAGTAGGCTTGGGACAGTGTGTGTACAAATTGCTAGTTACAGCCTTGCTACCTTTACATGTTTCATGATGATAATAACAACACAAAAAGTTGCCTTCAACAGTGATGGGACTTTTTTTGTAGATGCTCTAAAAATCATAAAGCAAGTAGAAGTTAAATGCCAGTTCATTAAATAGAGTCACTGTTCATCTTTCATAGCTATTGTGAAAATGGCGTCATGAGCTGTACTACAAACAGAGTCCCTGGCGCCTTGCTACCAGATGTTTTCTTTGACAATCCGCCACCTGCCAGAAGTCAGTATGCTTTAAAAATTATATTTGTTCTTGTTCTTTTCTACAGTATCTTGTTGCACAGGGTGAGGGGAGGGAGGCCATAGTGATGTGTGGGTGAGTGAAGTGTGTCCATACAACCAGGGCCTTCCATAGAATGGAGTTGGGAGCATTCACATCTTCAGGAGAATCTGGCATCATAGTGGAATGCTGAGCACCACTCCTGATTGGTTCCTAAAGCTTTTACAGCTACCTGCAAAGTTTCCCTTTAGCAAAGGGGATTAAAAGTGATGATCATTTAGGGGTGTTTTTAGCCCCTCCCCCAGCAATGTTCCCCTCTAACATTTTCTATCCAGCACAAGGGTTCTCTATTGCTGCCTCCTGGGGCTAGGGTTACCAGGTGTCTGGTATTGACCTGGACAGTCCGGTATTTTCGCCTCCTGTCCAGTAAATAAATTCAGAAAATACTGGACACCTAAAATGTCCGGTATTTTCTATTTGTCCTGAGGCCCGGCTCGAGCGCCCGACAGAAGGCAGCTTGGGACATGCTGGGATAGAGGGAGGGGGGAATGGCCCGGGTTGGACTCTGGTGGAGATCTAAAGGGCCTGGGGCTCAGCTGAGAGCCCTAGGCCCTTTTAAATCACCGGCCCTGGGAGCAGCTGCTTTTCTTCTCTCCTCCCCCGCCCCATGTTGGTGGCCCTGGATGGGAGAGGCACTGCGGTGGCAGGCAGAGAGCTGTGTAGGGTGTGTAGCCTAAGGTTCTGGCATGTCCTTGCTCATCTGAGGAGAGCCGTAGAGCATCCAGTGCTAGTCATGCCCATGCTACAGGAGCATGTGCAGCATGCTGCCATAATGGAGAGCACCCTCTTGTCATGCCCATGGATGTGCCAAGCTAGCAGGGAGGCAGTCATACTGGTATAAAATTGAAGAACTGATATACCTTATTTCCCTTCCTTCAAGGGCACCACTTACACTGATACAAGCACCTTTCTCTCAGTCTAACTCTGCACAGCTAAGAGGGTTTGCTGTTTTAACTATTCCAGCATAGCTAAAGCAGTACAGCTTTTGTGTGTTGTCCCATTGACTTTCAGTGGGGTTTTTAGAAATGTCATCATCTAGCCCAGGGGTGGGCAAGATACGGCCCACGGGCCGCAACCAGCCCACCAAGCCATTTGATCTGGCCTGTAGCCTGCCCTGTTGCTCCCCCACCCCCAGGCCAATCAAGACCTAAGGGTGGGGGAGTGCACAAAGTCATTCGCTGTTCAAAGTGGCTGGCAGCTCCCTCCCCCCACCAGGACACGTGGTGCCTAGAGGGAGCCGCCAGCCATTTTGAACAAAGAATGACTTTGCGTGCTCCCCTGCCAGCAGGTCCCGATTGGCCTAGGGATGGGGGAGCACGTGAAGTCTCCTCCCTCGCCACGAGCACGTGGCACCTCGAAGGAACCACCCCTTCTTCCTGAGGTCCTGTCCCTTTGGGGAGGGGCGGGAAAGTCAGCCTGCAACCATGAACCAACGTTTGTGAAGTCGCCTCCCTGCAAAAAAGTATTGCCCACCTGTGATCTAGCCACTCAGGCATGGGAAACTGGGTCTGGAACCTGAATTCTGCTTTAGTCCTTTCACAGAGCGAACCTTCTGATCACAGCGCTGACAGCTTCCGAGGAACAGGGCTCTCCTTTTGAAATGTTCCTAATCACAGTTGTTTTCATTTTCTTTCTTCAAGTCAAAAGAAGCTTGACGTGTAGGGCACCCATGGACAAAGTTGTCTGTCCTCCGAACGACCCGAGAGCAGAAGGGACAGAGTGTGCCAAGACCTGCCAGAACTATGACTTAGAATGTTTTAGCCATGGCTGCACATCTGGATGCCGCTGTCCCAAAGGCATGGTAAGCAAAATGCGTATTGCCACATAAGAGAGGCAACTAAAAGCGGATCATTCTGATTTTCTTGCTTTCGCTCTTGCCCAGCCACAGCTCCGCTGCAGTTCAAAACCAGGCGGTTGCTTGCAGTGGCTCCTGGTAACTTAACCATTGTGTGCTCACAGTCACATTATGATGCCCGAAGGGCAAGTGTATTGGGGAGGGAAAACTCACAGAGAGCCCCCTACCTAGCACCCTTCATAGAAAGCAGCCAGAATGACTATGCACTAAGACAGTGACTGTGGGGCTCTAGCTGGCTACCTGCAGGGAGGATTTTTTTCCCCCAGTGCCCAGTTACCCAGATGACTTTTGCCTTTCTTTGAAGCATTGGAGATTGGCCAGAGCTGGAGATGGGGACACCAGACAGGGTGGACCAGTATTTTGAGGCAGCAGAGGTGCCTACTTAGAGTTCTCACCCCCACTCTATCCCATCTGGCCTCCTCTGACCCCATTCCACCCCTTCCCTGAGTGTCCTTGGTCCGCCCGCTCTCCCCAGTGCCTTCTGTATGCTGCTAAATGGGGGAGCTGAGGGAAACGGGAGGTGCTGATGGGTGCATAAGATCAAAATTATTTTCCAAAGGGGCTCTAGCCCTGTGAGCTACCTGTGGAGCCAGTGCTGCAAAGCGATGCAGAGAATCCTCCTGCTTAGGGTACATTTATGCTTGGCTACAGCTTGAATAGACACACTTGTGCGAGCTCTCTTTGCGCCTGCTAAAAACTGAAAGTAGCCGTGGCAGCATGAGCTGCAGAAAGGCCTTGTCATCTCAGGAACATACCCATCCGAGACCGTAAGTGTGAGCTTGGGGCAGCTAGCCTGCCCACCCATCCCACAGCTTGTGCTGCTGTGGCTACATTCTATTTTGACCACTTGAGACAATGAGAACTAGTGTGAATGTGTCTGCTTGAGCTGGGGTTCACACCCCCAGCTCCAAGTGGAGACCTCCCCTTTGAGTCCTGCCTAATGTGCTTTGCTCAAATGCTCAAGGTCCAACTTACCTCTAGTTTTGCAGTCAGGTTGGAATTTTCCCCTTTGCTCAAATGCTCAAGGTCCAACTTACCTCTAGTCAGGTTGGAATTTTCCCTTAGGTCACATTGGCAGGTGTTCCAACTTTCTCTGCAGCATGGGTCATGGAGTGCTGGCTTGCACCGTCTAGGTCAGGGATGGGGAATCGAAGGCCCAGGGACTGGATGCGGCCCACGGCTTGTCTCAGTCTGGCCTCCGAAGCTCAGGGCTTCACACATCCCAGCATTGGAGCTCCAGCCCCGCATCTCATTCCCCATGGGGCTGGAACACACAAAATCTACTAGCCCGGGCCATCTGAGGCTCTGGTGTGGGAGTGGAATGTGGAGTGTCCTCAGTTGGGGGTGGGTGGTGGTGGTGGTGGTTGTTGTTGTTTTTTACTTCTCACTTTTGTGTAGTCCCGACCCCAAAAAAGTTTTCCACTCCTGTATCCACCTAATCAACTCCCTGCCATTGCAGGGGCCTTAGGAGTTGGTGGTGTCACCTCGGTCTTTCCCCCTCTCTGATTGTGTGACTCTCCCACCACAGAACAACGTTGTCTCCCCAGCAATAGTATGCTTTAGTCTAAATTACATCATCTGGCTTAGCGCAGGAGTGTCTGGGTGAAATTCTTTGTGATCATGGGTGGTGGATGAAACTCTGCCTTGGGGAGGCTATCCCCCAGCTAACCCTGCCCCGTCCCCCCGAGGCCTTGCCCCTTCCATCCCTGTCATAGCCCAGCTCACACTGAGGCTGTTGGCTCCTGCCCCACATCCCTAACCCCCCACATTGTGGCTGCTGTTCCCTATCGCAAGCTACTGCTGCAGCTTCCCTCTGCCCCCGAGTGCCAAGGGACCAGGTGGTATAGCCCCAGGATCCCTGGTCCCAACTGCAGGGTTACCGGGCAGCATGGTCCCAGCTCCACCAGCACTAGAGTGGGGGGGGGGACAGTTGGGCCTCATGGCCCCAGCCTTCCTGGTCTGGAGCATAGGGAAGCTGAGCAGCAGCAGGAGAGCCGGCCACTTGCAGAGCCAGAAGCAGGACGAGCTTGAGAGCAGAGTGTGGGCGGGCCACACCCTATTTTGGGGCAGTCTCAGACTTCCCATGCCTCTGACACCCACCCCCTATGTCAGAGATATGCCGGAGGCCAGACTAGATGGCCTAATGGTCTTTTCTGGCCTTAATCCTTAGGGAATCTATCCGAGTGCTGCTGCTGTCATTTTCAGAGCAGGGGGTAGTCGTGCTGCACAGCCCGTCCGTGCTTGCCCGCTCAGATGTGGAGATGTGGTTAAGGTCTCACTCACCCATGAAGCTGCTAGTGCCCACAGGCCAATGGGGTGGGTTATGGGTGGAACTCATGGTACACATTTTATAGAGGTGCTGTAGGCAATACTTCTGAGCCTACTCCCCCTCGTAAAACCAACTGAATAGTGAAAACATCTATCTGTGTATAACCTATATTACATATGTTGGAAAAAATGTGTTGAACAAATTATTTTCATTATAACAATGCTCTCAAACTAGGGGCTTTGTTTTGTGATGTCTTGATTTAACTTTCCTGAAAGCTCAGGGACTGGTTAGAACTGCATTTAGAGCAGTTTGAGGCCTTTGAGACATTTGCTTTTAGTTAATAAAGGAAAGCATGTGCACTAATAGATGTTAAAGTTAAGGTTTTATAAAATGAGTGATTATAGTGAGGGTGCGACTACACAGCAGAGCTTAACTCGAAATAAGCTATGCAAATTGAGCTACGTTAATAACTTATTTTGAAATAGGGAGCATCTACACAGCACTTATTCGACATAGAGCACTTTTCCTCCGACTTCCCTTATTCCTCCTACAATGGGGGTTACAGGAGTTGGAGTAAGAAGTCCTCCAGCTTGACAGTATTTCGACATTATTTCAAAATAACTGTATGCTGTGTGAACGCGGCCCAAGTTATTTCGAAATAGCGTTGCAGTGTAGACATACCCATAGACTCATAAATTGGTGTATATGCAACTAAATAAACAGTTTGAGTACCCATTAGTTCCCACCAATTTCAGTAGGAGCTGAGAGGTACTGAGAACTTTGGGAAAAGGAGGGCACTGATTTAGTTTCCTAAATATGCATTTAGAAGCCCAGCATTAGGCAACCATTTTTAAAAATGTTGGTCACTACTTCTACCATGTCTCCTAATGCTAACTTCATGTCACTAGAAATTCTGTCAAGCCCCCAACGTTAGTACACACATAAATAAAAAGACACTCTTCCGCTGGGCACCTAGTGCATCTCTTTCCTATTCTAAAGCTTCAGGTGGTAGCAGAGTTAGTCTGTAACAGGAAAAACGTAAAAAACAACAAATAGTCTGGTAGCACTTTAAAGACTAACAAAATATGTAGATGGGATCATGAGCTTTCCTGGGCACAGCCCACTTCTTCAGATGACCAGTTCTGGACATCTAACACTCTAATCATCTGAAGAAGTGGGCTGTGCCCACGAAAGCTCATGATACCATCTACATATCTTGTTAGTCTTTAAAGTGCTACCAGACTATTTGTTGTTTTTTAAATATTCTAAAGTGCACAGATTTTAGCCAGTAATATTGCATTCTAGAGCGGATAAGAAAGTGGTTTCCCCTCCCCCTCACAGAAAAGTTTGGGTTTTAGTGAAAAGTTAAAGCCCACCATGTTTTGGCCACAATCCAACATAGTTTGATTCTGGAGGATATTAGTACTTCCCGAGAATTGTAGCACAGGTCCCTCGTGCTCCCATTCTCCCCTCTAGGCTGGCTTCCCTGTAAACCGCATCTTCCATGATGCATGACAGCCCCCTTCTTAGTGTGACGAAGTGGTGCTCTTTGTATTTCGGTTTGTGATGAAACTATTTTGTGTTTTGCTTGAAAACAGAAACTGTTTCAATTTGGGGCATTTGATTATTCAATGAAAAATTGTAATTTTTCCACAGAAAGACACTTTCTGCACCAAAAAAATAAAAACATAAAAAATAAAAATAATGGACAAACCTGCTTTTCCATTGAAAAACCTTGACAGTGGAAAGTCTCTTACCAGTCCTTTGAAGTTCACTTTATTCATTAGTTTTGAATTCTGTCTAAAACAGTGGCTGACTTCATCTGGAGCAGCCATGTAGATTTATAGGGACCTGTGGTGCCTTTTCTCTTGTAGGTGAGTGTAGTTCTTTTGTCTGTCAGTATTTCTTCCAATGTCATACTAGAACAAACTAGATGGCTTATTACTTCATAATTTCCAGGATCACATTCTCTTTTTTAGCAGATTGATCTCATATTGGCGGATGGTCAGACATTTATATGGCAGATTCTGTTCCAAAATAGAAATGTTTTGTGATGACAGCAACTGAGACTGTGAGCAGCAGCTAGGATGAGGAAATCTCCTTGTACTTCCAGCTGCAGTCTTTTGTGACATCAATGAGCAATGCTAGCAATAGGCTCGTTCCAAGTGCACTCTTCTATAGCCATACAAAACTCTGATTGGGAGATGGCACAGCAAAGCTTTCATGAACCAGCTACTCATCTACTGGAATAATTCATTTTCTTCTTTATTAAACCTGTGTTAGGACTTTTTCAGATTTTAAATGCTGAAAATATTCCATTAATTTTCCTGGTTCGGAGGGGGAGAGAGGGGGGATCTTCTAGCATAGAATATAGTAATGTTAGCAAGTGACCCTCCCACAGATTTACAGTTTGAGTTCCTGCCAAAGTTTATCAGAATTACTGTGATCTGCTTGGTCTGCTCAATGGATTTGAGATTTGGGTTTGCTTCCAGGAATTGGTGATGGTTCAGAGTAGAGCTATTTATATGATGAAAAGGGAGAAATAATCATTCAATGGGGAAAAATGCCAACATTTGAAACTGAGACCTTATCTACATTTAAAATTAGTACACTTTACTGTAGGTATGACATACACCAACAGGAAGGGTTTCCCCATTGGCATATGTGATACACATCC